TTCTGGCACAAATCTTGGGGAAAGGGGGCAAAGGAGGACACGGCCCGAGGACGAGGGTCTCGGGATGGTGCAGGGAGGGCATCCTTGCTTTCTGGAAGAGACCACGGCAAGTCACTTGAACCCTATATCTTTCCTCGCGTCAATGAAAGGGCGACAAGTGCCCCTTCCCCCCAATAACCACTGAGAGCCAAGAGAGGGGCAGGAGATCAGCGGTCTCCGGGGATCTTTGGCGATCCAAGCAGCCCTACGCGGCACGGAGGAAGAAGAGCAGGGTTGCTCCTCCACCACGGCCGGCCTGGCGCCTCTGAACGCCCAGCACCTTTCCATGGGGTTAGGATTTGTCCATAGAAGCTGGTCCAAGAAGATGAAGGATTTTCCCCTGCCTTGCTCGTCTCCATCTAAATGAGGTTCCTCCCTAACTCACTGGTGGTTGAGCTCCAGACGAGCCTAATTTGTCTGCCAGGTGCCCCCATGCCAGCAGGTGACAGCCTCAGTAATTCACCTCTCTGGTAACTTCTCTCCAGTGTATGTGGCAACACCTTAAAGGCTCCTGCCTTCAGGGACCCAACAGCAAGAGCCAAATAGCTTTTTTTAAAGTAATGCTCAATAAATAGAAGAAATAAATATTAAATATAGGCTAAGTCCTCTCAGCCTGTTCAATATATGTACAATGCATAGCAAAATAACAGTGATTGGCTGTTGCAGACAAGTTTGGTACAAATTCAGTCCCCCAAAACAACAAAAACGTTAAGAAAAGTCGCAGTCAACGTAAAGCAAAGCTCAGCCGAGTGCTGCAACCCGTGAAGAAAAGAAAGAACACAGCAGTGCTTTGAAAAACCCCCTTATCTTTGCTTTCCAGCAAACCTGCAAAGATTGCGTTGGGTTTTCCGGAGCCTGGCCCCAGCGCTGGGGTTGGGAGAGGAGGGGACGAGCCTCGCTGCGTGTGACAAACCCAGAGCCAAACTCCAGGGAGCGGGGAGAGCCGCCGGCACGCCGCCGGTGTCAGGGGGACGTTTGGGAGCAGGTGCCGCGACACGCGCTCTGCCGGGGAAAGGCAACGGGGCGCTTGTGGGATGGAAATAAAACCGTGGGTGGGAAGGAGCCTCTGCGTTTGAGGAAAGCGAACCCCTCTGAGATAGGGCCTTCAAAAAATTCCCCGAGATACCTTCCTGAAGCCTCGAGGCTGCGGCCAGCCCTGGGCACCCCTCGCGCGGCCGACCACAGGCGAGCCGCGATTCACCACCACCGAAATGACCGAGCTGCCTTTCCACCGGGTGAAGGCTGCTTTTGGCAGAGAGCGCCAGCAGCAATCCCAGGTGCTGGATGCGGAGCAAAAAATCTCTGAGAGCTATGGACGAGGGAAACAACATTAAAAGAAAAAAAAAAGCAAAGCAAAGCGCTGGCGAAAGGCACAGAGACAGAAAAGCTCATGGGCTTCTGGCAAGGCGACAGAAAACCCAGTTGTCCGCTGACAGGGAGGGTGATGCTCCGGGTGGTACTAGAAATCTTAAATAGTTTAGAAAATAAATATCACCACTGAGGGAAACTCGTCTGTATGCGCACACGTGCACCTACACACGCACATGCACACACAGGCCCGGCCGGGTCCTGCCACCACGGGCTGGATTTTGCGAGCACCTTCAGCCCGGATCGCTCTCTCACGGCCTCATTTCTTTAGTTTTTCCATGGGTGGGTCCCTGCGGCGATAAACACGGCAGGGG